TCCGCACTCGAAGGGGCTCATGCCTCAGCGCGGGAGGAGTCGGCCTCCCCCCCCTCCCGCTTCCGCCGCCGCCGCCGCCCGCTACCCCGACGCCGGAGGCGGCCGCCGCGGCGGCGGCGGCGGCATCCCTGCGGCGGAGGCTTGGGGGAAGGTTGCTGGAGTTGACGTTCAACAGCTTCATCTGCGCCGTTGAAGGGAGAGGGGGTTGTTCGTGTTAAAACTGCTCTGGATCTCCACATACCGTATATGACACAAGATAGCACACCCCCTGGACCAATTTTCAAAGCTCGACTACGCCATGACGAAGAAGATGCATAATTGAAACAATACATTCTCGGAAAGCTCTCGACGATAAGCTTCAACGCCACTGTTTTCGGCGTTGTACCTCTTTCTGTTGTTGAGAAATCGACATTTGAAAATCGGTCCAGGGGGTGTGTTATCTCGTGTCATTTACGGTAGTAGAAGAGACACTAAAAACCCGTGCTGGCGATCCAGCAACATACATGGTACGGAGGAACAACTCGCCGCGCGAACAGGCAAAAACTCGCAAGCATGGCGAAAGCCCACAAAACGAGGCAAAAAAAGTACCCACGAAAAAAAAAGAACCTTTATCTACCGTAAAAGATGAGCGAAAAACGTGCAAGAACGGCATCGGGTTTGCAGGATAGAAACGGCGGTAGGGGTTGGTTCGGTACCCGGTATGGTAGGAGCCGCAGCGCCACGGCTTTACCCAGAAAGCCACGAACTGGGACGGTTTCGTGGATGGCGGACGAACAGGCACTTAAAAGCTACGTAAACACACGGTACCATGCAGCGGCAGGCGTTCTGAATGATGATGCACACGGGTGTGTCAGGTACGGCGGTGGATGTTTTTCTCGCCTGGATATGTCTCTCGACCGTGCGTTCTCGTTGAAGCTCCTCCTGACTTCCCGTGCTGGCCAGGGTCAGAACCACGGCAATCCGGGTGCGTTTTCCCGCGGGTACCTGGCGCAAAGCAGGAGGAAAATGCAGAAAGTAGAGTTTTGCGGACAAAAAAATATTCCTTCTCGCTCCAACCGCAGCCGGGTTAACATGCTCCAACCGCTGAAACACGGCAAAAAAAGGTATATAGCACGGTTCGTCCAGAAACAATCACAACAGGACGCGCTACCCTCTTGACAACCTGGGAGTGTTAAGATAACAACTCCACGCCACGAAAAAAGAAAGGAAAAGAAAAGTACAAACCTTGACCGTAAGAACAGGTCCTCCGTCAAGAATCCCACGCTGACACCGACTAAATAGTTGCCGTTGGACTACCCAACCACAAGAGACAATAGAAACGAGTCCAGGGTAAGCTTAAGAGGTTCTTAAACGTGGTGGCGCCTTCTGCACCGCTGTAGTTGCGAAAAGAAAGCAGGCCGGTGAGAAACACACACAACAGCTTGTTCTAGGCCAAGGACGCGACCCATATGACCGAAATCCCAACAACCGGGCCGCCCACACCACATATTTTGCCTGCGGCACGCAGAAGCAGGAACTGCTGCCGAAACCAACACCGCTGGGGGGGCAAACGTCATCAGACAAAAACACCGCCCCATTACTATTTTTTTTGTATAGTCTTCACTTGAAATCAGCGCTCACAGCGTTCGTGCCATTTACTCCAACCCGTGGTCACACGGAAGGGATCCTCTCCCTGCTGAGCCCCCCTACCCACCCCTCCTGTGGTGCTTTGCCCTCCATTCTGAATGCGACAAGAGTGCAGCATTCTCTTCTTCCCCCTCACAAGAAAAAAGAAAAAAATCAACTCGCCTGAACGAGACGGTTGCCCAGCGGCTTAAGCTTCTCCCGCGCGATGGCATTCCTCAGCTGCAACACCCTCTCCTTCATCAAGCTCACGCCCGCCGCCGCCCCGCCCCGGCCAGACTTCGACCTCAGCCCCCCGCCGCCCGCGCCCTGGCCCTCTCCTCCACCATCGCCCGCGCGCAAAAGTCTCCCCAGACGATCGCCCTCGAAGCTTTCGGCCAACTGCTCCAGCGTCCACTCGTCCGTGCCCGCGGGCAGCGCTTGGGCCGCTGCGCCGGTCTTCCAGCCGACCACGCCTTGCGCCTGCAGCCCCCCGACTCCCGCCGAGACGCCTCTGCCGCCGTCCGTGCCGCCACCGCCGACTGCTGCGCTAACGCCGCCGCCGGCGGTGGCGACGGCGGCGGTGGCGACGGCGGCGCTGCTACCGCCGCCGCCGCCGCCCGCGTTCTTCGGCCCCGTCTGTGCTGATGATGATGACGCTGCTGCAGTTGCCGCAACGCTGCTGCTGCTGCTGTTGCTGTTGCCCCCACCTATTCTTCCATCACCCTTCCCCGCGTCCTTCGCGCCCCGCTCGAGGCTGCTATCCGTGAGCAGGGCAGCGCCGCCGCCGTTCAAAGGGCCGCTAGAGGTGCGGTACTTGCGGGTCATACCGGGTGGCTATAGACGGCCGTTTGAACAAAGCAGGGCGTGGGGGGCGGACATGAACGGGGGTCAAGGATAAGCGGCAGTATTCGGCCCGAAGCACACATCGCGACAAAGTCAAGCCGTGCATGCCTGTCGACCTCAGCACGTACGGTATAACATAGAACAGCGTTGCGACGGGCGCCTAAGGTACCCATCTCCCCTCTAGCTTGCTCCCGGCCCTGCTGTTCGCGAGACTCAAGGGCAAACGCATTTCGCAGTCTACTGTACACGGCTGTGGGATGACATCAAAGCGTGGTCTCCGTTCTATACAAAAAAAAAAAAAAATAGCAGCCATGGCACCAACCGCCCTCACCATCTCGAGATCCATTCCACGTATAGGTCCGTGCATGTGACGAGACTCCCGGACCGACTTGAACCTTTTTAAGGCGGGCAGGCGGGTAGGGGCGCGCGGGGGGGGGGGGGGGGGGGGGGG